ATATATGAATGAATCCATTAGTAATTCAAATGATTTCAATACATTTGATTTAAAACAATCAAGCCAAAGTAGTTCAACAGAAAATGATGAATATGATCGTAATATCTTAAATGAAAATGCCAACATAAATATTAATACTTCAAATAAAGATCAGGACTTTGTAGAAAAACTGAAGCATTGGGCTGTTGAATATAAAATTAAACAAAATGCTTTGGATGCTCTTCTAGGCATTCTACGAAAGGAAACAATTGGGGAAAATCTTCCAAAAGTTTCTAGGACATTTTTAAAGACTCCAAGAAATACCTTAATACAGATTGTTATTCCAGGTCAATATTGTCATTTTGATTTGAAAATTGGACTCGAAAAAGTGTTGAATAGATTACAAAATGATGATTTACTCAACAGTTTAAACTTTAAGATTAGCCTTAAAATATCAACAGATGGATTGCCCTTGTCAGAAAGTAGTACTAGTCAATTATGGCCTATACTGGGTTGTATTATTCAAACATCACATGTATTTGTAATTGGAATCTATCATGGTCTTAGTAAACCAAATGATGCTAATACATTTTTACAATACTTTGTTGATGAAATGACTGATTTAACTAATAATGGTATTTACTTTAACAATATTTATTACAAAGTGAATATACATTGTATTATTTGTGACGCACCTGCGAAGTCATTTATCACCAAAACAAAAGGACATACTGGATATAATAGTTGTTCTAAATGTTGTCAAGAAGGAGAATTTTTATACAATCGTATATGTTTCCCTGAAGTAAGAAATAATATTTTAAAAACTGATGATGGATTCTCAAAACAAGAATATGATGATTATCATCAAGGTATATCTATTCTTTTAAGTATTCCCAACTTTAAACCAGTCTCACAAATTCCATTTGACTATATGCACTTGGTTTGTATTGGTGTATTTAAAAAAGTTATGAGCATGTGGTTAAGTGGAAAACCAGAATGCCAAATAGTACGTTTACAGCATTGTAAAATTGTTGCCTTAAACAACAGTTTAAAAAATATGAGAAGTTATATCACAAATGATTTTGCTCGACGTCCTCAAGATATTGTTAACCTGGGAAAATGGAAAGCTACAGAACTTCGGCAAATGTTGTTATATACCTGTCCTGTAGCTTTGTTTGGGGTTGTACATCCTCGTGTATATGAACATGTCTTAACATTACATGTATCTATGCGAATTTTGTGTTCTCAAAAACTACTAGATTTACATTCTGACTATGCAAAATTATTATTAGAACATTTTGTTGAAACTTTTATTATTTTATATGGAAAACATTATGTGTCCCATAACGTCCATGGACTACTACATTTGGTAGAAGATGCAAAACTCTTAGGTCCTTTAGACAATTTTAGTGCGTTTGAATTTGAAAATTGTCTTAGGTTAATTAAAAGACAATTGAGGAAATCTGCTCATCCATTACAACAGCTCTATCGAAGATACATTGAAGAATCCTTAAATATTTTAAATGTTTCTGTTAAAAGTACTATGTTTAATAAAAAACACGTTAATGGTATTGTTTTAAGCACTACTGACACTGATCAACAATATAAAAAAGCAAAAATAAATAATTCTATAATTACAATTACTAATCCAGATAATTATTGCATGATTAAAGAAAGTAATATTGTTGTAACTATTTGTAATATTGTGTATGACAAAACTATGAAATGTATGGTTATTCTTGGTAAACAGTTCATAGACTATTATGATATTTACCAAACGCCATGTAAATCGTCATTAATTGATTGCTACTTAGTAAAAAATTTATCTTTGAATATAGAGATTTGGCCTATAAAAAACATAAAGTATAAATGTCTAGCACTACAGTGGAATCATGATGGTTGTGAAAACATGTTGGCTGTATTTCCACTATTGCATAGTGATTGTACCTCTTTGCAATGAAAATATCACTGTTTTTAATTTATTATTCTTACTACTAGTATGTGTATATTTTGTACATATTATTATAAATGTGTATTTTATTGTTTACAGTTAATTAATTTAGGTCCATTAAAAGTTCGGCAAAATATGTGGAATATTGTAGAATTTGATGACAATACCGTACAAATAGTACCAAATTGCTGGGTATCTTCTGACCAAAAAACTTGTTACTGGCCTCCAAATGGACTATTTAAATCAGATAAAAACTTCCTCAAAGAAGTAAAAAAATGTGTTTCACCTTCTATTAATTGGTCCATCTACAATGTATCCTTAGTTCTTGGAAAGTATGGTAAATAGTTTTGTTTTAAGAGTACATTTTTATTATTATTAAAATGAAATGTATTATTAATAATAATATTACAATTTATAACTTGTAGATAATTTTGAAAAAGGTTTAATAAAATTAAAAAAGGCTGAAGATTACACAGATTTAACAACTGATGTTGAAAAAGAAAAAAAAAGTCGCAAAAACCGAAGAAAGAAAAATTGTTCATCAAGTTCAAGTGAGGAACTTCATTTCTCAAATTCAACTAAAATCAACATAAAACCTCTGCCTGAACCACCTACAGCATCAAATGTGAATTTAAGTAAGCCATCCACATCTAAGTTCCATAATGCTACCCATCAAGCTACAACTCCATCTTTAGCACATAAACTAAAAGTATGCTCGTCATTGTTTGATTTACCTGAGGAAGAATCACTGTCAAGCGATGGATCTTTAAGTTCATATGAACTAGATATAAGAGATGAAAAGCTAAAAAATTCAAAAAATATTTTGAACAATATCAACAATGAACATGAGTCTGACAGTGGTGGTAATAATAGTATAAAGTATAATATAATCTAACAGTATACAGAGTGTACCAGGACTATTTAACAAATATAGTAACAATTGTGTAATGGAAGTTTGTTAAATAGTCTTGTTACGACTCATAATATGTAATTTGGAGTATATTTTACTACCTATATAGTAAATACTAACAAATAATTATAAATATAAAAATATTAATGAATTATTATGATCCATAGTAAATATTTAAATATTATTCTAATTTGAAAAATCATAATATAAATGCGAGTATAAATGTATAAGTAGTAAGACTATACAAAATTAAAAATAATAATTAACCATATCTAATATTGTAATTATTTTATGTATAGCAGTAAATTATACTCCTACAATGAAATTAAAGAGGGCACTTGAGTACTCGACATGTGAAACTACAAAAATGGAGAATATGAAGCGGATAAAAAAAGCCGGTAGTTTAAGTGATGCTGGTAAGTACTAAAAAATTTGTTTATACTTAATGTACTAAAGTTTGATTAAATACAATATATTCAAAAATCTATATCATGAATTGCTAAATATTCATAATTTTAGATAAGTATTTTATCAAGTTTTATAAAAACCTTAATTTATAAATGGTGTTCTAGATTTCAAAAATTTGGTTTTAAGACAGCTTGCTGTCATAAAAGTAAACGTCAGGAAACTAGATGACCGTGTCAAAAATCTGTCATTTTCAAATTCTGTGGTCTTAACCAGTTCTGTTGAGGATATTAATCTAAATGATGTCGTTGGAGAATTCCCAATGAATACCGAGGAAGCATTGAAGAAAGTTGAATTATCATTAATTGATACAACCTACAAATTAAACTTGGTACATATGAATATTAAATTTATAATATTATATTGGTTATATGGGAAGATAAATTAAATGAAAATTACTTCTTAAGATGATTTAGCGCACTGTTTGTTGTCTGTCTGACCCACACGCAACACGTTTTTTGTTCATTGAAATTCAGTAGTTTAAAATCGATTAATTAGGGTCCTTCAAAATTCGTAAATCATAAACATTACTCAATAATTTTATTTTGTTTTTAGACTGCAGCTCTGACCAAATTGGGTGGATCAAAAACCGACGAAGCAACAAAAATTATTCTTCGCAAACTTTTCACAGACAAACTTGCTATGACTTATAGTTGGTGTGGTGGCAAAGGAAAGAAAGTTATGTCCAGTTTGGCTGTATCAAGAGTTATAATTGGTAATAATAACTTACACAATGAAATTATATTCATTATAAATTATATAAATAATAATAATCTTTTTAAAAATTGGAAAAATTATTTTTTGTTTACTTTGATTCTAGATTCAGTATTCAAAATTGTCAAAACAACCACGGAGACTGAAATAATTGGAAGCATAAAAAATTGGTTGAGGCATGCCAAAACAAGAAATGAAAATTGGTAAAAATTATAAATACCTATTTATATATTTGTTAAATGTAAAATAATTAATTAATTCCATTAAAATTAGTGAGAAAAGATGTGCTGCAGATTCCACCGAACAAATTTTATTGCCCATGCAGAGTGAATGATCATTTTTACATTGTATATTTTGAATTGTATATATTTATATCTTGTTTGTTTTCACATAAGTCTGTGTGCAATATAATTACTTTATTATTTTGTTTTTTTATTGAGAATAATTATTACTATGATATTAAATAAAGGTTTGGTTTATTAAACATTTTTCTCTAATTTGTATTCCATTTTAAATAATATAAATTGCAATGAATATCTTATGGATATCCATTACATATTGCAATTATTGGATGAATGGTGCTGAACTATATCTAATGGATAATATATTATATCTATTGGATAATATTTTATATCTAATGGTTAATATATTATATCTAATGGATATTATTTTATATCTAATGGATGTTATAATTCAATTATTACTGATTTCTAATGGATACCCATAATGGATATCCATAAACTAATAAAAAAGCGGCCAATTGGATATCTAGTAGATATTTAATAGATATACATTCATATCTAAAGGATGTTATGGATATCTATAAATCATATCTATTATACATTCATTAGTTGTACCTGTGTTATGTGGGAATGGTAGTAGCAACTTGACATTTTTTTCCGTGTGTAGTTGGCTTTGCAAAAATAATTACTATTAGTAACCCAATTGATTTTTGGACCATTTTATTTGATAATACATACGATGATTGAAAAAATTACTGATTACACAAATATAAAAATAACTGAACTATCTATTTTATATGGTAACACAAGTACATTTACTGGGCACACAGACATTATTGAAATTAAAGCATTTATTGGTTTATTGTATTTATGTGGTATTTTCAAATCGGGCATCGAAGATGTAGAAGGACTTTTTGCTACTGATGATACTGGTAGAGACATATTTCGAGCGACAATGAGTTTGAAACGGTTTTTATTTTTGCTTTCAACTATTCGTTTTGACAATATATATGATAGAGATGATAGAAAATAATCGGGTGATCGTATAGCTCCAATATTAGAGTTGTTTCAAATGTTTTTGGTAAATAGTCAATCAAGTTATTCAATATCTGAATATTCTACAGTTGATGAAATGCTGGTTTCTTTTAGAGGGCGGTGCTCTTTTCGCATATATATGAAAAGCAAACCAAATAAATACGGACTCAAAGTAATGTGTTTATGTGACGCAAAAAACAACTATTTGTATAATGCATTTATTTATTGTGGAAAAAATAATGTTCCAAATCCTAAAAAATTTGCAATACCTACTTTAAATGTGTTAGAACTTGTAACACCTATTTTTAATTCAAATAGAAATATAACTGGGGATAACTGGTTTTCTTCCATAGAACTAATAACTGAATTAAAACGACATGGCCTAACATAAGTGGGAACATTACGTAAAAATAAAAGAGATATACCATCACAAATTGTTCCTAACAAACAAACTGAAGTAAATACAACAAAGTTTGCATTTACCAAAGACATAACATTATTATCGTTTATTCCTAAAAAGAATAGATACGTGTTGCTTTTATCTTCTATGCACCATACAAATACAATAAATCCGGAGAATTTAAAACCAGAAATTATTGAATTTTATAACCAAACGAAAGTAGGAGTTGACGCTTTGGACCAAAAGTGTGCAGTCTATTCAACACATCGACGTACACGAAGATGGCCACTCGCTATATTTTAAGCCATGTTAGATATTGCTTCTGTGAATGCACGTGTTTTATATAATTGCAAAAATATAAACTCACCAAAACCACGTCGAAAGTTTGGAATAATAATAGGAAAAGAGCTTATTATTCCTCATATGAAACGACGACTATTACAAGAAAGACTACCTAGAGAAATACCACAAATTATTAAAAGAATACTAGGAGATAATACTGACGAAGCAACTCAAGCAACTTCTTATAACCCAAACAAACGACGAAGGTGTTACGTGTGTCCAAGTTCTAATGATACGTAATATTCAAATATTTGTTCTGTATGCAAAAAAAAACGGTATGTAAAACACACGGCGTTCAAGTATCGAAATGTATTAATTGTATGGATATAGAGTAACTAATCATTTTTATTTATTTTTATTTTATAATGTAAGGAACTTTCCAGAAATATATTATTTTTTCTTTTTATTTGAATTGCATTAATTGACTAAATTAAGTGTTTAATATTTGAGTAACATTTAAAATATATTTCATACAAAAGTCAAGTTTTAAAATGTATAACCTATGCTTCAAAATTTGTTTGTAGTTGGCTATTTAAAAAAACGTCCAGAGAGGTACAATAAGTGTTTGTAATTTTTTAGAAATAAATGTTTTAAGTTCTAAATTTTATTTTATTTTGTTGTTATTGTATCTAAACTTAACTAAAAACCAATGGGTAATTCAAATTTGAATGTAAATATATTTTTTTAAATAATTTATTCAAACATTTATAAATAATCATGTAAAGTTGCAAGATTAAAATAAATTTGTATAAAACACTTATATTTGATAAAAAAAAAAAATGTGTTATTAAAATATTCATTTCATTTCATAGAATATAATGAAAAAAAAAAAAAAAAAAAATGAATAACTTATAAGTAGTCCAATTTTCGGGTCATTTTTGACCCGACAATACCAGTACGTGAATACAAATAAGGATACCAGTTGAGGGTTAAACTGTCAAAATTGAAAATGCTGATAAGAAAAAACTGGAATACCTAAATTCAGTTTTTCACAAAATCAATTTTCTTTTTTGTATAACTCACAAACAAATTACAGTAGATACTTAAAAATTCCGCCAAAATATAAAAATACATAGCAGTTACTTATGCGGGCCCTTTTGTTGATTTAACGTTTTGACCAGTTATTATATATTTTGTCTAATTTATTTTGGCATGATATGAATCACCAAAACGACTAAGATTTTATATTTTGATTACATTTATTCCTAACCAGGATGATAATTATTATTATTTTTAATGTCGTATTAAATTAGGACCAGCTGTAAATATTAATAACATGTTAATTGATTTTAACTTTGTTAACAACCAAAATTGCTATAATAATTCACAAATGTTTTGTTTGCCTGCATAAGGAATTGAACCACTAAATTAAATTAAAATGTAAATAAATTCCACAAGGTAATCCACACTGAACTGACAAACGAAAATTATAACACCGAATAGGATACCAACTCCTATCTGAGTATAATAATTATTGTAACATTTTGAATACCTATACCATAAAACCGATTTTAATATTAATTTAATTTTAAGAATATCAATTTTTTATTAGATTTTTAAAGTATTAAGCAGGCGTAACCCCCCGCTCAGTATTACAATCATATGGAACGCAATAATAAACAAAAAACCATACCTGATCAATCACCGGGTGTGTTTGGCGGTATTGTCTCGTTTCACTTGCTTTGGCAAAATACGAAATCTTAGAACAATAATAAATTATCGCATTCCAGAATCGATGGTGATCGGATCCCTGTTAAAACTGCTCGCTAAAATTACACGCAAACACCACTTAATTAATTTTTTTTTTTAATTAGGTATACCTAGTCATGAATAAATCGATTGTGTTAGCAAATATCGACGATATTTGCACTGCGACTTATATTGATAGTGTTTTGGACATAAAGTCCCACAAAATGATGCTAAAAAATGGTGATATTAAAGATAGACCGATCTACAACCGTATTAGGTCCGCGCACAAGGCCATGTATGAGGCTGCAGTTGCCAAAGAATCGAAAGTAAATTTTTTATTGTGCGATTACTTACCACATCATGAACTTTATAAACAAGTCATGGTGGTAAGTAAGTGCTACATTAAGAAGAATACTGTCCTGTATGATGTCGGTGGCCATCATTTTCCTGTGTCCAAAGAGCTCATCGTATATGTTAACATTTTCAAAGTACTTAATTATTTTTACTTTTCATTATAGGTGTCAATGATTTCTCACTGTTATACTCGAGCAAGTCTAACAAAAAAGAAGAACCGCACTTACTTCTGGGGCCAATATCATTTGTAAACCACGGGTGCTTTCCGAACTGCACATTCGTAGCCCACGAAGATGGTAAAATGTATTTAAAGGCTGTCCATGATATTCACACTGGTGATGAAATAACAGTTCAATATAGTACAGAATATTTTGGGAACGAAAATGCAAAATGTTTATGCAAAGTGTGCTGCACAGTCTATGACGGTAAATATAGTGGTAATTAATATAATATACATATTATTGTGATTATTGTGAAGAGGATTGGGATGGGCTAAAGTTCGGAAATGGAAACGTTTATAATATGCTTTATATGTATAGTGTGGTTAGAGACATAGGGAGGGGCATTAATTAATTTGCGAAGTGCGATGTTTTGAAATGTTTGGATTTTGTTTATGTTAGTTTTTTTTTGCGTTTCCCCAAAGCTGTAGGCCATATGTCCTAACAGGCTTTAGTAGTGATTTATAGATTAGTAATTTGGTATTGATGTGAGTATATTTATTATTGTTGATGAGGTTTTTTAGTAGTCGTAGGAGTAAGTTTAGATTAATTCGTTTGGACTTAATATGCTGGGCCCAGGTCAGTCGTCTTTTATCAATGGTCAAGCCAAGATATTTAACATTCGAAGCACTGGGAATCAGAGTATTATAAATAAAGACATCGGGGCAAGGGGTGAGTTTAAAGGTGAACGTTGCATGAACCGATTTGGTTTGACTTATTTTAAATCTCCAGTCGGTGTACCACTTCTCCATGAGATTGAGGTGAGATTGGAGATTTTGAGAAGCTATGACGGGATCAGAGTGTATCGATAAGATTGCCTTATCGTCTGCATAATCGGCAGTTAGTGTATTAGGTGTCGTTGGTTGGTCTGAGGCAAATATATTGTAGTGGGTAGGGGAGAGGATACCACCTTGCGGGACACCAGTTGATATATTTCCTATGGAAGAAAATTCATCACCGACACGAACTTGAAAGTGGCGATCGGAGAGATACGACTTAATAATAGCGAAGTATGTAGGATGAAGAAACTTTTTTAATTTTAAATTATAATTTTAAATAAAATGTCAGATCAGATCTCTTCTATCTCAGGTAGATAGAGCAGAAGTTACCTGTACAATAAGAAACTCTGTTGGTACACTTAACCAGAATGAAGATTTAGCCATGTTTTTGCGACGACCATCTTATGGATGGTTATTATCGAAGACAAGTTCGACCTCCACCATTGGTAAACGTATGATTTGTATTTTATTTTAATACCTACTAATGTTAACTCATTATTTTTTTTTATTAGGATCAGTAATGAATGTGTTCAAGTTAAAGCCAGTAACTTTTAGATATGACTTGAAATAATTTTATTCATAACCCTTTTATTTTTATAAAAATGTTATACTTATTTTTAAACTTATATAGTAATTAATGACTTATAAAAAAAATTTTTTATACAACTTTTATAATTGTAAATAATTAATTTATACAACTTTTTTACAACATTTACAACTGGGCAAGTTAACTATTATTTCTAACTAAAAAAATTAGAAATGAAGTAAGTGTGAAAAAGTGAGCACACTCAAAAAAAGTAAGAATAGTGATAAATAGTGAGTGTGGTGTATGTGAAGTGTTCGAAGACATACACCAAGTTGTTCTCACCAAATGCGGAGTAAAAAAATGCAATGCTTGTAGAAAATAGTGCTGTAACGTATACTGAACATGCATCATGTATAACCTTAGTTTTCTGAAATTTCTCATAATATTTATTAAACCCGCATTCCGGATAGGTATTTAAAATTATTATACTATTCGGTGGGTACCTAGTACCTACCTTTTTTTTTTTTTTTTTTTTTTTTTTCAGTTTTAACCGACGGCGCCGCGGGAATTGCTTTCGCATTACTGCCGCGGCGCCGCCAACCTAGTACCTACCTAAATTATCTGGAACCAGTACCAAATTTTTTTGGAACCCATAATATTGTATTTTAATCTTATCAAAAAACCAGAACCGAACCAGAACAGTTATTTAATTTTTGGAGAACCAGTACCGGAATCAATACCGATAAATTCAAAAGGTTCCAGTCTCTGTTGTAACTTACAATAAATTTATTCATAATATTATATAACATAAGCATAAAATAAAAAGTCCACTTGCAGCGGGAGTGAGAGATAGCTTTTCTCTCTTCCCCATTAATAAGACTTCTTGCGTTGTATGCATTAAAATGGCCATTCTTCTATTATTTATGGGTACGACGTACTCTTAAGAGTAAAGACTGTATAATAATATTATTTCATAACGATTTATACCATTGCGACATTGCATTTGGCTATCGTGTAGACTTTTTCAGGAGGAAAGTTAATTATGAAAGACAGTACAAGTGTAAGCAGACATGAACTATGAAAAAATGCCAGTTCTACCGCATGAAAAAGTGTCAGCTTGTGGGAATGGCGACGAAGGACGGAGTAAAGTAATTTAGGTAATTTTATTTTTAAGATTTTACTATCAGACATCAGTTCAGACAGCAATTCAATGTAGACGAAACGGGCCAATGTTCTATCTTCGAAGTCCGAAGTGTGCATCGTGTAATATAGTGCCGCCACTCTAAGAACGCTACTCGTTCGCGCCTCCAAATGACCGAGCTCCGCAGTTTCGTACCCAAGTTTCTCCCACTCTACAGCGGCTCCGTCGGTGGTAGTGGCAGCGACAGTAGCGATGGCGGCGACAGTGGCGGCGGCCAGCTTTCGGGAAGGTTAGGTGGTGGGAATGCGCGAGATCGGATGAATTTTGGTCGCCGCCCAGTAGCGTTCTTACGATGGCTATACTATAGTAAAGGTAGGTAATACAACATTTAGATAACTTAGTACCTACATATTCGTAGATAAGAATAAATTTTATTACAAAATACATTTTTTTTATTAATTTTTTTTTATGTCTGTGTATATAAGTAGTAGAAATAATGCTTCGATTTTCAACTTCAGTATCTTGTTCGATTG